AAAAATAATTTATTGTATTTGTCACTTCTCTAATCGTCAACACCAGATAAAAGATTTCCGAACGAAAGTTATGAACCGTTAAATGTCGCGAATTTACATCATAGTTTCTAGACAAAGAAATATTGCTTTCTAGAGTTCTAAAGTAACTTCTGATAATAGCATTCAGCTCATTATAATGATGTATCACCTCGTTATAATTTTTCTACCTCTCGAACACAACAGATAAAAATCAATCCTAAAACGTGATTACGTTATTAGCTTCGTTATGGGCCCTCGATTTGCAATTACTCAATTAATTGCTACTGTTAATTAATCGGCACTCGAGTTCGGCGTGTTGCGATAAGGATCATGGCTTTAGCTGTTTATTTGGGCATTACACGATTAGGTGAACGCACGCGAGAGAGAGAGAGAGAGAGAGAGAGAGAGAGAGAGAGAAATGTAATCAGTCTCGGATTGAACGTAATTTTACAGTCGCCTCTGCAACCGAATTACAACGAAAATTATGCTCGAATTATGCCGTCACTGGAACGTAATTAACAACATATTGAAGTACGCTCAGCTGATTGATGATTGCAAACATATTGGCCACAATTATTTCGTTTAACTACGTCATTGCATAAGAAGATTAATTACTTCTCTCTTTTTCTCTCTCTTGCTTTCCATTTCTACCGTACAGAAAAAGAATGAAATATTAGTATTAGAAAATTAATAAATTAATAAAGTAATAAATTTTGACCAAAGCAATTAATGTAAAAATTAACTAATGTACAATTAAATCTCAGAAAAAATAGCTATTTACGATAATAAAACATTATCTCTCATTTCTCAATTACTAATAAATTCGGCCTTTTGTGTTTCAGGTTGCGGTCCCTCATCCAGTCCCAGTTCATGTCTCACATCCAGTTCCAGTCCCGGTTCCGCAACCCGTCTACATTAAAGAAGCGGTTCCCGTCCTCATTAAGAGCGGCCACGGTTACGGCCACTACTAGATGAATTTCTCATTCAAAAAAAGTCACACACCCCCGCTCCATTTTGACCCTTTCTCCAGCAGCGCAAAATCCATCACGACGAGCGTCCGAGTCAAGTGACGCTTCTCTCGTCGTGTAGTGCCTCGAATTCACGAAATAAATCAATTTTATAAATGTTTTCATAAAGAAACGACTGTCTTCTTTTTCTGCGCCCATAACTTATCCGTCCTAAAGATAAAAATAATATTTCAATAAGAAATATTTTTATGCATAATGCATAAATCAATATGCAGCTTACTTGCAGTGTGAATAGTATACAATGTATTTTCGTACAAAATTAAATAATTACGTGTGCCCTTGCGATACTTGTATAATATTTATTGTTTTATTACATTCGCAAAGAATTAATGTGCGAGTGTTCTTTCGTAATGAAAATTTAATTGCTCAACTTTTAGTCCGACCTCATCATCTTGACTCGCTTTTGCTACTGTGACTCGTCATTTCAACAGGACTTCGCACTCCGTTTACGCTTCGCCCACTTATGCCTGCCTTTCACGCTCGCTCTGTTTTTGAACGAGAAACGTGAGAAAGGACGTACTTAGGAACGATGAAATAAGGAAGAAACACATTGCAACAGCATTCAGCTGTAAAGTTGCTACACAAAATTGTGGCAACACGTTTGCCTTTATTTGTCATATTCTGACATTAGCGGTCCGCATTGATTATGGAATAGTATGAAATTAAAGAAATTGGTCAACACTCGAAGGTCTCTTGTCAAGAGCTAATAAATGACTTATAAGACTGTATAAGACTGTATAAGACTGAATCTTATCATTAAATATCTCTAAAAAGTTAAATTTAAATTGAAAAAATGTTGATAAAATTTTTATAGATTTGAAATTACTTTATTTATTTAATTTTCTAACTTGAATTATTTATGGAAAACTCTTATTATTCAAATTTGTTACAAACAGTAAAATTTATTCTAATATAAAATTCTTTTTTTATATTTTTTATGCAAATTTTAATATTTTTTTTGAAATTTTATTTTTTATGTCTTATTAAACAAAAATTATATGAAATTTTATTTGTAAAATTTTCAATCGTAAAGTGATAGATCAATAGCAAGAAAACGACATTTTTGTATCGATGAAATTGCTACCTGTCACCTGTCACGTTACCGACCTGCTTTTTTTTGAAAAACGAATTAAAGTGCGAATGTCATTTGAGATGATTGAGCAAACATCGTATTTCGATGAGAGGAAATTTATTTGTCTGTAATATAGCCAATTTTAGCCAACTCTCTTCGAACACGAAACTACACTTCATTGCGCAATGTAGAAATTACAGTTGTACGCTGAAGGATTTCGAAAGACTGAAGAATTCAAGGATTCAAATCTATACATTCTGCAAGATGTATCAGATTGTTTTCTATAAATATTTGTTTAATTCAATATTTTTTTATATACATTAATTTACATATTTACATATTACATTTTTATATACATTTCAAAGAGCAAAAGTATGATATTAATTATTAAAATATTGAATACATCAATAAATTAATTTAGCATTGTTTTCAGGCTTCTGAAGAACCCAAGAATTGTTAACATTTCTATCTTTGCACAAAACTTTCAAAAACAAGAAAAAATGTAGATATGCATCGAGAACGATGTGAATAAAAAGATGCTTGCATTAAATATTCTGGGTTGCTCAAAAATTTTAAAAATGCACATTTTTTTCACAATTCTGCTTCTTGCATAAAAGAATGCATACAGATTTTTAAGGCAACTGAGGAATGTAAATAAAAATGCAATAAAATTCTTCGCGTTTTAGATGTGTTTAGTGTTTTATATGCATTATTTACATATTTCCTTTGCTTAAGTATATATTATTTACAATAATGCAAACATTATAAATAAAGTGTCACTTAATTAAGAGGTCATCGCATATAAAATAGACTACCATGGCTATTAATTATATTTAGCACATCAATTAAAATCGGAGATATTACGGAAGTAATAAATTATCGAACCAATAATTTATAATGATATATGTACAGATGTACATATCACTGACTTTTAATTTTTCATGGGATTAATACTCTTACAAATTATTAAATTACATTTTTGATAATTATTTTTATATAATTAAACAACACATTTTTATATCATTTTTATTATATTAATTACTTAATTAGGTAGCTATAAACATGTGCGTATATATTGAGGAAAAATAGGAATACATATTGCGAGATTGCATAAAACATACAGTTGCAAACGAGACTCTACGAGACAACCTGTAATCGCATTGATCGAACGCAATCGACATGTGACCCAAAGAGTGACCTAAAGAAGAACCAAGTCAACAGAGGCGAGCTCGTAACATGAGCTTTCCTCGTAACATAAATGTAACTCCCTGAGGTCGACACGAAGTCAACTTTCTTTCTTGGACGACGCAAAACGCATCGCCTACATAATGACTTTTCGATTGCATTGGTTTGCATAATAATAACCGAAAATTTGTTAAGCAATACACCGCATTTTCAACAGTTACTACATTTTACAACATTATCACATGCAAGCATATAATTTTTAACTTTTTGTAGATTACTTATACAACATTTTATTCTTATTTTAAGAAACAGATTTTTTTTATTCTTACTCTTCTTTTGCACTCTGCAGAATAATATATATAACTAAACAAATGATTACAACAAACAGAAACTTGAAGCAAAGAATTCAAAATGTTTAAATTTCGGCAAACATTTTGCTCGCATTTTGGATCTTAAAGATGCGAAAGCGATAGCACGGCGCTTGTATAATGCAGATCGGGTGCACTCGATGCATAAATGCGTACACACGCAGCGGGACGGCGCGAAGAACGTGCGTGTAATAACCGGTGCGAGACGGTATGGAATTTTCGGCGATTTCGCCGTGTCGGGCTAGCCAGGCCCGGCGCTCGCAATTACGCAATTGATACAAGGCGTATACATAATCTCACTCGTAACAAACAACGGAGGACGCAGTTTCCGGTGTCGAAATCAGAGATTCGGTTGCCGATTTTATGCAATTCACGAATACATGTAGTCTCTCATCAACACGGAAATCGCCGGTTCAAGGAATTCGCTGAATTCTTGGTCAGGTCCGCTTTCCAAAGGATAATATAGTATCATTCGACTTTTGCGAATCCTTAATCCTTTGAGTCATATTGTATCGTGTATGATATGTTATACAGATTTTAAATAACGTCAAATTTCGTTTATGATTCTAATTTAGTTCTTAGGAAAACGTTATGTGCATATATGCATATTTATCAAATAAAATTAATAAAGTAAAATAGAATAAATATATATTGTATATATATTGTTATTATATTTGCAAACTTTTGTGTAAACTTTTTCCCGAGAATTTTAATTAATATTTACTAAATTTAATTTAAAAATATTATATGCAACCTGCACAAACAAAGTTGCACAGCAATAAACAACCAAATTATCAGGATAATCCAATCTGACAGAATATCTCATCCTCTGCAGTATTCTTTTGGCAAAATAATACTGCAGGATTTACGACGGACAAAGCGGCTAGGAAAGCATAAATCTTCACATGTGATGCTATCCAACAGAATTTATACCGCGGATCTCGATCGTTTTTTCTCTCGACGGGCGAGAAATGTTCCGCCCATGTGTGTCTACACAAAAAACGTTCGTGCCGGCCTCGATAAATGTCACATGCAAATTGTGATCATTTATATTATCATCAACATTCAAGAGTTATCCAGACATTCTTCACTTTTTTATCAAGATAAAAATTCGGCTTGGGAATTCCTTATTATATATTTTGAATCAGAACGTTCTCACTTTTTGTAATGATCGACGAAAGTAACATATTTTCGCACATAAAAACTGTAATAACACATGTAAAGTATTTCACTTTCAAATTAAACTGCTAAAGAGTTGAAAAATTAATATTAAGTGGACAACATTTTTTAACCCAACTCGGAGAAATTAATTTCTTAAAATTTTAGCACATTTAATTATTTAAAAACATTTTATTAATGTTTCTTTTGTTCTTTACATCTCAATTATTTAATTAAAAATATATTTATTTCACAAAATGTTTTTGGAGAAAGAAATTGTTTTTAAAAAATTAAAGTTATTGATTCTAAGATATTTTTTGTGTAACAATAGAAATTATACAAAAAAGATTATTTGTTAACTCAATTTTGAATAACAAGTTATATAATTTATAATTTTGTTTGCGAATGCAAGTTTTTCGCGTTTGCTACCGATTAAAACATTTGTTAAGTCTATTTTAAATGAGTCTAAATTATTGTAAAATATTTTACGGCCGATTATTTGCCAACTAGTGCATCAAATTTGAATTTATATTTGGAAGTCGGCATCGAGACAAAAATTATGCAGAAATATCAATCTAGCTCTGCATTTTTGTATTAGATGCATTGTCAATTAAGTATGTGTGTTGTCTAAATATTGATTGATTAAATAATTATATTATAAAAATAAAATTTCCGTATTAATTAAAGTGTAACTAAGAAGCTTTATATATTTAACTTTTTTGATTAATACAAAATTTAATTTTTTATACCAGTTCGCTTTTAATTTAACAGTTTTATAGAGTTAGCCTTTAAACTAAAAATTCTGTTGAAGCATCTACCCACGCGTGAAATTAAAAACGCAATGTTTTGCATATATTTCGCTATTTACTTCCAAATTACCAAAAATTAATTTACGTATAAAAAATAATTTGTATAAATTTCAAATCTACTGATATTTTTATTGACTGGAAAAAAGTTTCGTGATTCTTTCTTTACCAATTAGACAATTAGACAATAAAAAAATTTTTGTTTTTAATACAATTAATTAAATCAGATGATAAGTGATATGACGGCAACGCTCTTCTCTGCATCACTACATTGGTTCTACGATCGTTGAGGAATTTGAATGATGCATTTGTGCCGATGTGGCCTTGGATGCCGTGATTTGACGCCACCCAGGAATTCACGAAGTAGTTTAATGTATCCTGATCCCGGGCGATGCTTTTTCTTCTCGACCGACTATGCATAAATTTATCATATTTCTTATTTTTTAGTATTCTTTCTTCTGCTATAGGATACACAGATACAGTTATCACACAAAGATATATTTTAATATTCGAACTATTTTTTCTTATTAAGATAAAATCCATATTTTTTAATTAATAAAACTTGAATAAAATTGACAAAATAAATTATAGATAAATAAAATAAATAAATAACCAAAAGTGTCCATTATTATAAATAATATTGTATATCATGAGTGATGAGACAAGATCTCTAATAATTAGCATGTAAATTAAATTAAATTAATTATAAATATTAATTATTTGTTGGTTTTTTTAATATGCAGATTGTTAACACACTAATGTTACTAACAAAAATATTGTAATAATTAGCGAATAACAATCAGCGTTTTAAGCACAAATATCCTCGTTTCTTATCTTTTGTTATTAATTACTTATAACGATATCAAACATTGCAACGATGATAAGTGATTCGGTGCCGCAATACTTTTCGACAAGTAGAAAGCTGTATTCGTTCGTCTATGAGAATGTCAAGAAAATGTATTAACGATGCCGCGTCACGTTCTCTGCAAATTTTTTGGAACTGGCCGGACAGGTGGGGCCAATTAAAGAGCGGTGAAATTACACAAAGCTGACCAAAAGTCGAACCACTTTCGCTAATAGCACGATTTAACCTGAAAGAAGAATACCGATCGGTCCTATAAAGGCTATAAGTTCCACAAGCATCCCGTGAAAAGCACGGAACAAAGGAAATAAGCGGCATGAATCGTCTAATTTTACGATACGAAATAAAATCACAATAGAATAGATTTAATATCTTAGAATTTCTTCCGCAGATATGCAAATTTTATGGTTGTTATATGGCTTTGAAACTTTTTATATTTTAAATATTAAAAACTTTTAATAGTCATCACTTGCAACAAAAATATAAAAACATCTAAATTATAAAATTGGACAATTTTATATAATTTTTTAAATAATATATTTATACTCAATAATTATATTATAATATTTTAATATTTTTCATATAATTTTTATATAAATCAATTTTCTTACAATTACTTGACTGAGAGTGCAGAAGAATTGTTTTTTCCTATCGAACTCTTTTATCCGTCGCGATTTTTCTTACGAATTTATGAGATCTGACAAAACGCGTATTTTATACCTGTCGTTTTTTTCGCCAGCTTGAAGAGCAAAATAAGACGTGGTCTCGTTACGTGATAATAAATGACGCAATGATTTACGAACAAACGGTGTCCAGGCGTAATATCGCGCGATACGCGCAATATTGTTATATCATTTCTGTCAAATAATTAAGTAATATTTATTGAGAATCTTTTGCATCTTTTATTGCCTTCGTACAATACCAGTTAATTTAATATTTTAAAAAATATAATTAAGTGCAGTAATTATGAAATTTGTACGTGTTGTCATGTAATCACATTTTAATGTATTAATCAATTAAATACATAAAATTTAATTGCTAAAAGTGTACATTTAAGAAATTAGTAAATTATACAAAGTATTAGAACATAAAAATATTAAAAAATTTATTACAATAGAAAATTAATAATACTCTTCACTATATTTGTATTATCCATTTAAACTTGAACTTTTCTATGTGTAAAGAACCGATTTGGTTTACGTAACTTACAGCGTAATCTCATTCATAAACATTTATTGTTAGTTAACAAGGTCATTATTTCTTATTTGCAATTTTTCAAATTTATGAGATCGGGCAAGCACATGATTGTGCAACTGAGAGAGAGGACGATCGAGAGAGAACCCGGTTTAATCGCGATCGCGAAACATCCATAAAAATTGAATCGGCGCGGAACCTCAATCAAACATTCTGCGTATGTAAAAACTGGTATATGCCATTTGTAAGCCAATTAAAAATTTGTAATAAAGAAAATATATACTTATATAAAAGTTTAACATTACCTTAGTCTGTTGTTCTGATATAATTTTATTATAACTTGAACAATTACATCCTCAATACAATGAATTTTGACGCGTGCGAAGCATGTATTTGCGTAAGTCTTGCGCGAGTCTTGCTTGCGAGCGATGAGAAGAGCCGTGCGAGCACGAGTTTTTCGGCGATCCCCTACTCGCACGGGGCCTGGTTTCGGTTTCTTTTCACCTAACCGCGTTTCGGCGGCAGGCCCGGTCGCCCACCACCTCGCTCTCCTTGCCGTCTCTCCTTGAGGGTTTATCGTATAAAAGCAGAGGGATCTTCATCGTACTCATCAGTCGCAAACACGACGAACCGAGTTAAAAATTCGCGCAGCATCATGAACGTCAAGGTATTAATGGAATACTAAAGTTTGTATGTGTTGTAAAAAGTCAATTTTGCAAGGGTTCATCGGAGAGAATCTAAAAGATCTAGATTTTGAACAGGGTATAAAAGATCGATCGTACGCTGTCACGAGAATGAAAATCCCCGCATTTTTTGTCATTTTTGTTTATTCGTTCTCACTTTTATTATTCTGATTAAATTAAAGAGTATATTGACGCATACTGCTAATATACAATCACATCTTCAGATAGCAAGACATAATAATTCTCTGATTTGCAGGTGGTGGTTTTCTTCGCCCTGGTGGCGCTCGCCTTCGCGGAGGAAGTAAAAGAGTCAAAGAAGGCAGAAGGCACGAAGAAGGACAAGCGTGGCTTGTACGGCGCCCTAGGCTACGGCTATGGTATCGATGGATTAGGATATAACCTTGGTGGACTCAGCTCGTACTCAGCACTCCCGCTCGGCCTGAACCAAGGCATCTCCACCGTCCTGACGAAGGAAATACCTGTGCCCGTGCCTCATCCGGTCGCCGTGCCCGTCGAGAAACAAATCCCGGTTCCCGTTAAGGTATCTATACCCATTGTTCATTGTTCTTGGTCCTCGTTAAGCTACTGATGCTCGCGATTATTAAGTGTCAATGTGTGAAAACTCGTCGGCGACATTTGACAACGAGTGTCTGAGCTTCTTTTCATTATCTCACTTCGATATCGCATTTCGCCGTTAATGGGAAAAGTGACGTTTCTGAAATGCTCGATTTATTGGACAGCGCAATTGAAAGAAAGTGCGACAATTAGTACCGAAATAACTTGTTACAGAAATAATGGAACAATATTTCTGCGCGTAACAGAAATGTAGACAGCTTTGCAAATTGACAAAGCAATATAGAATTGGAATCTATGTAAATTACGATAATATAGACTTTCGAAACATATACGTCATTTCTACGCCAACAAAAGTAGCTACCGCGCAAAAAAAAAATAATCGCAACAAGTGGAGCGTGATTAGACGTGCGAGGTCTTCGTTACATTTGCGAGACGTAGGTATCTTGCGCCGGTCTATAATCTTTCTGCAAATCGATCACCTTGAACTAAATATCGCCCACGATAACTTAAACAAAGTTGAATCTATAATTGCATTTGACACGTTTACGTCTTAATAAGATTTATAATGTATTTTGCTATCGAATAATAAAGTGGCAAAAATGTTTCGCTATCAAATAACACAAGTGACGGAATAGCAAAGTGAACGCAATACTTTGCAACATACAATTATAAATTCTTAAACTATTAATTGCGCAAATAGAGAATTTAGTTAATCAGAATTAACGTCGCAAACGTTGATAATTAAAAATACTTATTCTTTTCCTTCTCTTTCTAGGTGCCATACGCCGTGCCAGTCGACCGTCCATATCCTGTTCACGTGCCCAAACCCTACCCAGTTGAAGTCACCAAGCACGTTCCCATTCCAGTAGACCGTCCTGTAGCCGTACCCTACAGCGTCCCCGTCAAAGTGCCAGTTCCAGCCCCGTACGCTGTCAAGGTACCGCAACCGTACGCCGTTCCCGTCATCAAGCACGTACCCGTGCCCGTCGCATCGCAGCCCATTCTCTACACAAAATTGCACTCCAATCTTGGATACTACGGCGGCCTAAGCAATTTGGGATACTCCTCCTCCTCCTGGTAAAATGACAATCTTACGAAACCTAGAGCGTCGCTCTTCATCGATCATCAGCGCAAAACATCATCTGGACCGCGCAGATCTCTCAGTGACTTTTCATCATCCCCTTCAGAAAAGCTCGTAAAGAAAGATATATATTAATGTATGTTAATATGTATTTTTCTTCCGAACGATAACAGTGCGGCTAAAGTGAATTCCTTCCTGCTTCGAAAATTTACAAACAGTTTTGCGGGTTTTATGGGATCCTTTTTAATATTTTGTGATAGAGAGAAAGAAAAAAACGAGTGTCTAAGAAAAAAAGAACATCCTCCGATTTCGACAAAAAAGATTAAAAGACATTCCCGCGAACAAACGGGATCGAGTGATGATTCCGATCACCAGTGTAACTATTTAGGTCTATGTTTCTATGTATAATTTCATTATGCTGATTGTTCATTACTAAATAAATTTTTTCTTATGAAGAGATTGCATATCCTTATTCCCTCTTCTTATTTATCATAATATAACAACATTTTTTTAAAGAATGCGAAAAATATTTAATGTTTTACGCCTTAATGTAAAGATATCGTTAAAAGATATTGTTGAAAAATAAAAGTGGAAAATAAAAAAATTTTTTATGTATAATTAATAGCGTTTAATTAATAAACCTTTTAGATGGAAATCTTATTTTAATAAAGTCTCAGAAACTTTTAAAAATATTTTATACTTTAGAATATTTAATATTATACTTTACAAGAATGGAATAAAAGATCAAATGTATTTGTGAAGGTAAAGAATGCGATAATCAACTAATAACACATGTGATGGATAAATTGAATTAAATAGCAACTCCTGACGAGTTGTGGAATTACGAAACGCAAGCAATCCAGATCAACATTGTATAATCCACAAGCATGAAAGGGAAATTTAAGGTCGCATTATGAGAGAAGCGGGTTATGTGAACACAGCGGCGTGAAATGTTCATTAAATGGAGAACGGGGACACGTTAAACGTGCGATTAACAAAATTTACATGCAGAGTGCAGAACACGAAACGTATGTGTATATCGTAAGCAATCTCCTTAGGTAAGTCCAATGCTATGCTTGCACCTGCTTAATAAAAAGTGTCGCAGCTGAATATTTATGACCATGCACAGAGTGCTTTGTGAGTCACAGTAGGAATAGAATGACAATGGAATGGATATGAAGAATAAAAAACATGAAAGATAATACATACACTATTAATATGTATAAATGTTTTTTTTAACAATAACAATCTAAATAACTACAAAACATTAACAACTTTATATAACATCAAAAATTTAAAACATCAACTAATATAAAAACAAAATATCTTTCAAAAAATCTAATAGTCTATATACAAAAATATAGATATAATGCACTATCTCATTTTAACAGTCAGCTGTACCAATGGAAAAGGCTATTTAGAGAGCTGACAAAAAATTAGTGAATATTTATATTACGTTTGTTATTATAATATTTTCTATGTCTTTTGACTAATCATTAACTAATAAGAAAACTGAGTTTTGTTAAGATCGATTATCTAATTGTATGACTTTTACAAAACAACATTATGACATAGCAATTGAAAATTTTCTTCTACAAAAATACTTTGCTGATTATTATTGCTAGTTATAAATAAACAGGAAACATCAATATTACTTTGTCATTAATAATTAGTGAACTATAAGTAAGTCTAATTATTCTAGTGCGTGTTTTCCAAAATATGACGTGTCTGTCATTCATACGAGATAAGTCTAAAAAGTTAAAGCAATTTTGTAATTAAAATTAAGCAATTAAATTTTATATATATATATATATCCACTTTTAAAATCCATCGACTTTAAAAGTAGAGTAAGTCATGTCTCCTAAAAAAGACCAATGTCATTTAATGCTTCTATTTTACTCGAGTCTCCTTTTATATATATATAAGTCAAATTGCTCAAACCACTTTCAAAGTAATCAGCTTTCTCGAACATTATATCCAACGATTTACTTCTCACGATTTATTTTTCCATTCAGCTTTGCAATGGCCCGACACCCACTGTCGACCTGTCACATTTCGAAAGTTAATGATTCGCCGAGTAGTCGGATTGGGAAGGTTGGAAGTGAGCCTGATCGCCGTTTTGTTGGTCGTATGCTTCACGGCCTTGAACGTTGACAGTGTAAGAGTTGTAGTTGACCGCCTCGTAGCCAGCGTGATCGCCTCCAGCTTTGGCGGAAACATCGTGTTCGTCGTGACTCGACTGCGGGATCGGTATCGCTTTTGGCACCGGAATGAAGACCGGCTTGGTCAAAGTAACCGGATGAGGCACGGGGATGGGATGTGGCACAGGCACCGGTTTGGATATCAAGAATGGCACCTAAAATATATTTTATTATTAGTTGTCTGAAAAAATATTTACAAAATAATATACATATATAATACACAGTTTTAACACCTTGCAATTTTGTAATACACAGCGCTTTATTCGATTTAAAAAAATCTGAGGGTCCTCTAAAAGAAAATTATTAATTTAAGAAATTAATTAATACCTGTTGATGCAGTTCCACTGGGACTGGTTTCTCTACTGGCACCGGCACGTGCTGCGGCACTTTCACTATCTGTGGTACCGGAACCGCCACGGGATGTTTCACTGGCACTGGAAACGGAATGTGATGAGGTACCTAAAGAGAAAGAAGCTTTAATCAGCCGTATGCAAATATCAATTGCAATTGCATTGTAGTTAATGAAAAATATTCAGAATTTTGTAATATCTATTTTCTTATATATATTCTAATATGTATTGAAAAATAATACAAATTACTGTTTGTTGTCATTTTGTGCAAATAATTTTAATATTAGAACTTTTATGAAGATAATTAAAATTATAAATGCATTTTGTCGATCGGTATTTTTGATCGTTAATTAACTTTCAGCTTTCATTTTCTCAAAGAGATTGCTCACCTTAACGGGATACGGCACCGGGATTTTGATGGCTACTGTCTTGATGACCTTGATCACCTTGGTCGGCACTTCATGCAGATGCACTGACTGTGAGATGAGCTTAGGCTCATCGGGCTCAAGACCGTGGCCGTGAAACGAGGGTCTTGCCATGACCGTCGTCGTCGCCAGCACGAATAAAAACTGCAAAGGTGTAACATCATTATAAGAGTGTGATGAACCCGTGTCTGACAGATGATGAGCAATTCAACACATGAGTGAAACGCGTCAATTACAGCCGAACAAGACTTAAGTGAAATTGTGATTTAATAAAATAAATCCATTAATATAATTCAATTTTATTTATTTAAAAATATTTGTTTTCAAATCTCAAACTATCTCTTTATCAAGAGTGATAACAAAACGCCGGCATTAATTTTTCTAGACAACACAGTTAATATTTAAGCAAGTTTTGTTCAACATAAAAATCTTGGAGTAATATTGTTCGTAAATTATTTCATGCCCAGCTCTCAAAAAATCTTGACAACACTATCGAATATGTTTGTCACAAAAGCGGCGATGATATTTTAGAAGAAATAAACGGCGACAATCTTGAAATCTTCTCGATGATTTTGACATTTCCAATTGTCACGGAAACTTACAATCTGCAACATGATCATCATGTCGTTATTCTAGATGAATCGGGATCGGATATCGTTACCAATGGGACGAGTTGCACTGACTATTATAGAATCGTCTATACAGTGGCTTATATACGAAGACCTTCACTATGTGGATCGGTTTACAACGAAGAAAGCACTCACTCACTCTCTTTCTGACTGGCCGATCTCTTTCGCCATCGATCTTGTTCCTTGTCTTTATCTTCTCCACTTTTTTGCGATTAGTTCTCTCACCGCGTGGCTAACTAAGCAAGTTCGATGACCAAAGGCCTGATGGATTCTACGGAAAGGAAAGACATAAGAGATTTTAATGTAAGCCGAAGATCGTGATCGAGATCGATGGTCACGAAGAGGCACACCCACGTTACTTGGAAGATCGACGATATCTTGCAAAAATAAATTGAAAAAACAAAAGAACAATTATTTAAATCATGGGAGTGATCATGATTCTTTGTTAGATAATTCTAGATGTAATTCTAGATGTGCAAAGGAGGGAACACTAACATAAGAAAAAATAATATCGAAGTAGAGCTTGCATCTTAATTTCCGAACGTATGTAGAGAATGTACAACCAATATCTCGGAAGTAAACATGTGTGATACGAACGAGAGTGAAAGGACTATCACCGAAAGACAACGATAGAAATTCATAAAGTAACAGGATCCGCAATCTGATTCATCGTTTTCAGTCCACTTAAACCGTTCACTATAAGTGTATAGGAGTGCATTTATCTCATGAGGAAATGCGCAAATTTATTATTAGCCGATTAACACAATAATTATTTATTTTATTTATAAAAATAATTATTTATTACAACATTAGTTATTTCGAAAAATGCGCTTCAGAATATCTGTATTATGATAATTTGTAAAAAGTTATTTTCCTAATTTATGTATATATTTTGTAAGATAATATACAAATATAGATATAACAAAGAAATAAGTCATTTAAAATTATTGCTTCTCAATGTGATAACTTTGGCGGTATCTTTGATTATTATTAATGATATATAGATTATTGATATTTATCATTTATTTTAATCAATAGCAATTGAGAGTACAGAGATATTAATTTATGAACGGTTTAGCTTCAGATTGATTTATTTATCTATTTTCTTGATTTTTCTAATAAATGTAAAAAATAATGACTTTCTCCAATGTTCTCAAATCTCTTTACTTGTACTTATTTCAACCATCGTGGATTATATTACCGATATCCAGTTAACTTTACGAGAACAAATGCGACAAAAGAAAGCAATAATACCGAAACCACTAATTTCTATTTGTAATTAATTAATAATCTCAGATTACGTGAATAATTCGAGCACAATTGTACATATTTATGTACAAAGCTTACTGTAGTCATTAATTTCCGATTTGTGCATTGGCCGTTGTTATTAGGTCCCACAGCGCGGATTTACAGACTTTCATTGAAAGTGAGAGGAGAAAGAAAGGACGGTACAAATTATTTTACTTGTGTTTTTGTGCCGAACCGGTTTTTGTTCTTATTACAAAGCCTCGTTCTGTCAATTATTGTCGTTGACGACAATGTTGCATTATCCTGCGGCAAAATTTTCTTTTTAGTTGACTTTACAATTGTACAAACAAAAATTACACGACAAAAAATTAACATTATATAAATTATTTCTTTTTAATTAAATTGTTAAAATTTGTTGCAATTATTTTTTTTAATCAGTGTCATATAATTCCATTATACGACAGATATAAAACAGTTAAAGAACGATTGTCAAAAAGATTGTAAAAAAGAAATCAGTTAAAGTTCAATTAATAATAAGAAGTTTCAGCATAAAGTTTAAGCTTAAACTTCTTATTATTATTCCGTAAGTGCATGCGGAAGTGAGCGTGAGAAAAGGCAACACTTCCTACCTTCACCTAGCTTACAATTTGAATATGAACCAGAGAACAAAAAATGCGATAAAAAGGTGATATTTTTGCTTAAGATCCTTTTTTAACGAAAGTAGAGAAAGGAGCAAAGTGACGTAAAGCGACGTAAAGTGTACAAATAAAAATCGCTGGTATCTTAACTAATTAGAGATCAAACTTGTCTAACAGAAATCTAGGAAGCAATTTTTTATAGCTAAATGATAATAAATAGTTGTTAATTATTCAAAAAAATTACGTCGATACTTTCCAAAGTTGTGGAGAGAAAAAAGTTTTATCTATAAAATGTTACATTATTATACATAGATGTTTTGTAATTATATAAAATAAAAGAATAAAAAGATATATATTATTTATAATTAAAAATGTAATTTTTATATTTTTTTAAACACGACTTTTTACATTTGAAAGGTTGAGTAAAAGCAACGAACACAAGTGAATGGATATTTACTATAATTAGAATTATTTTAATTTATATATATACTTCTATTGCTATATGTAAGTAAACATAGGTGAAATGTAGAATAACGAGTTTAAATGCAAATTGTCTAGTTATACTATAATCTTTCATATTAATAAGAATTTTTAGATACAAGTATTCAGCGAAAGTCGCTTTATATCTAAAATATAGATCTGAAAAATTAATGTAGCATGTTTTACAAAGTTCAATTAATATAATATGCACATGCGATGATAATAATTTAAGATCTGTCGAATGATATGGGAGATATGATGAAACTGTCAAAAAAATCAGCTGAATCGATAGAAATAATTTTGTATATTAAAATGTATAAACGGAAAAACAAGATTTTCAATCTAGGAAGTAAGTTTAAAACAGAAACATTTAAGCTTCAATAGTTTTTAGATAGTTGAATAGAATAGCTGGAACGTAAATAGTTGATTTGTACTAGCTTGAAAAATCCGAACTATTTGACATTTGATCTCCGACATTTAAAATCAATTTGCTTAACCACTTGAAATATTCGAGCACTAATTCAAGAGCTGATATCATGTGTATCGACGAACTATGTGTATAGTTTGATTGGCGCACTCTCACCGCGTAACCGCAAATTCCAGTTTTATCAAAGAGATACTACTTACAGAGTTAATGATGCTTAGTTTGATGATCAAAACAATTTCTTGTTCACCAACTTATAAATTACGCATGTTTGTAAACATTGTAAAACGCATGTTTATAAACTGCTCATTAACATATAAATCGTCGTCAATTCAGCTTTAATTCTAAATTACCAAGTCAGAACAATCTGATTAATAAATATCGGGAAATAATAAAATTAAAAACAAGAGCGTCAAAAATTTATTGAAAAATTTCTAATTAAAGCTGAATTACTATGTTAGAATACGTTATGTTATGATATATATACGTTTCTTCGTTATTTTTAAATAAATTGTTTAAATTTAGACAGTGATAAATAGAGATCTCTTTTTAGTCTCATTCGATAGAACTCTTCAAGATCTTTCAAACGAGACCCAAGTTTGTCTATCTATGTGCTTTCGTTTCTGATATATTTCAGTTAGCTAAATTACAGATAAACAAAATACAATTTTTGGAAAAATATATGTAATTTAAAAAAAATTATTTTAATTTTTAGTTTTTTAATTTAAAAATTTTTTAAAATATTTTTCTATTATTTTATGCAACTTAGCTTTAGTGTAGATTTATTCTCCTGGCGATATGCAATATTAGCGCGGCTACGTACCACAAAAAAACGTATAGTTTGGCGGAATTAATTAAATGTTTGTGATATTATTTACATAGATGGAGCCATTTTGATAAAGTTTAATCAAGCTTGTAATTGTATTTCGCGGGCTGTATGGCGCTGCCATAGCCATTCTTGTATATCCCTAAATAAAAAAAAACAAGCTTGTAACATTATGTTTTAATTATAACATTATGTGACAAAATGTGACAATATTTAATATAAATAATTAAATATTTACATATATTATGTTGTTTTATAAAATGTCTAAAAATAACTGTTGTATAAAAATTTGTAGAATCTACTAAATAATAGTACAGTAATTAATACATTGTAATTATATACAGTGGTATTGAAATAATTTTTTTATGTTGCAATTGTTCTTTATGTAGTCTGTACAATTAATTGCACTCTCACTGAAGTATGAATACACGACCGCAATCAAAATTTCGGAGTATTGTCGATGATATATTTTGCGAATGTATTATATCATTCATGAATTATAACAGATATCGTACGAGGCGCGCATAGACAAAGGCTCGAAAAAATCTCAATAAAGTGAAAGCGAATCTTACAAAGAGCTGGCGATGATTCTTGCGACGCGCCTTTACATCGTGTTTTTACACGCCGGCTTTTGAAAAATAATCGCTTTGCGTCGTCTTTACGATAAATTCCGTTGTTATGTCCCGCTAAGTGCCCGCCTTGCACAACCCAGTTTTCTTTTTTTAAGCCTCATTATGCATTATACTGATCCGACCGTGTTGATTGGGATTTCTCGATTTACATATCTCTCTTTTTACTTTCACATATATACATATATGACATCTCGATCCAATGTAATGATTGTGCAACTGTTTACATTGAAATATGGACCGCATTATTTTAGAAATAAATGCCATATTAAATAATCACAGAAAATATAATTTTTTATGTTAATACATAAACAAATGATATAAAGAAAAATAATTCTTCGTTAAAAGATATTTTTAATTTAACGTATATTATATATATTATTAAAAATTATTATTTTAATCTATATATAATAAAAGCACTCAAATACGTTAATTGATAATTTAATTTTGTCAAAGTATCTTTAATTCATATTTTTTTAAATATAAAATTTATAAATTTTGATTATAAATTTTTTATGCAACAAATAATTTATTACGAATTTGGATATTATATGTCAAAATAGATTTTTTTCTTTAATGTAAATGTTATCAAATAACCTTTAAAAAGATATGGATATATATATTTGAAAAAATAAGCTATCTTTAATTATGCAATTTCATTCGAAGAATCAAGATTGATTTAGGAATATATATATACATAAATAATCATAATTTTTTCTCTCATAATAATTTCTTTCCTTTCCATTTTTTAATAAACGAGTCTCATCAAATGTAGTCAAGTACCGACCATGTACCATAGGTTTCGACATAAATACCATAAGTTGTGACCAAGGTTAAATAATTAATTTGTTGTTTCAATCGTAACAGGTGTATTTCGGTCGACCAAGTTTAGGTAAAAACCTGTCTTTGTTATGTATGGAGAAATTGCTGTGCAGAATCAATTTGGGCATGTGTTATGCAAGTTCTTAATTCATTGCTGTTCAATTTTTTTTTTTGGTCTCTTGATTATCTCTTTTTTACAATTAAATATTTTATTTTTAAATATCTTTTTTACTTTATAAGAATATGTCGAATGCAGCTGAAGAGATCACAAACTTGATTCAATATTATTAAAATCTGAAAGTTACGTCCAAGAAAACGTGTTTTTTTTAAAGAAGAGAAAATCAAAATTATTGATATAAAATTTAAAATTATTATAAGATGTTACAATGTTGCAAAACATCTTTTTCTGGAAAAAAAATATAACTTTGCATTTAAAAATGTCTTAAAAAATATTAAAAATGCAAATATTTTTCTTAATTGATGAAAGCATAATTCTAAATGTCACGGATATATATCATTTTGTTTTTTCAATGTTGTTATGTATAACGAAATAATGGAATGACACGCATATGAAAAAGGCTAAAGACTAGATTGTGTAATAATGAGTCAACTATTCAATCTATACCGGAATTGTTTTGAGTGCGAGATGTTTTATGGAAAAGATATTCCGAAGTCTCGGAATTAATGCGAATACCTACTACAGAACCGCTCAACCTACCGGCAATAATCGATTGGTTGGCGCATGTCGAATTGTTGCCTTTCAGGTCCACTTCGATCGCATCGATCTTGCTGATAAATATTTTCTTATTTTTTTCACCTGCATCAAGTCTCTTTCACACACACACACAGACGATTCGTAATTTGCGACAGAATTCAATAACAATTACAATTAATATAATTATATATTTTACACAGCTGTAAAGAACTGTAAAAAAACATGGAAACGCGAGAAAAAATAATATAATATGCTCAGATGTAAATATATATAATTAGTTATGAAAAGATCTGATAAGACATAATATTTTGTATGATCATACAAATTACATATGTTATTAGATCTTTTCATAACTAATTATATATATTTATATCTGACCAATTATATCATTTTTTCTCGGTAACCTAAAGCTTTAAAACATAATTTACATATTTAAAATTTAAAATATAAATATAATATGATTTGGAAACAAATTTTTCAGTTCTGTTTTAAATCATCTAAAATAGGCTTTATTTTTGTCCTGTTTTTTGTAAAACTTAAAAATTCAAGACTATCAGAAAGGAAGTTTGTGAAAGAAAATTGAGGCGTCACACTGATCACCACAAATTTTAAGGTTCTTATCTTTTTATCATCTCGTTTTCACTTGATTCCTGAGAAAAAGACCACCGAAGTGGCGCAATTAGCTTCCGGGCAACTTTTATGCAAAGTGCATGCGGAATCTGCATGCGTCGAGAATCAACTTTCGTCCAACAAGATTTAACATCTTTCGATCGCGCAGAAAATGACACTATAACTGTATTGAGTCTCTTATATATCAAGTTTGTCTCCTTGCTCCTCATTTGCTTTCATTTGTGAACACGTCAAAACACAAATAAAAAACTGTGTCAAAGAGATAGATAGAGTTAAATATGATATTAAGCTCTTTCTTTTATCTTAATTTTTTAATTATAAAATTTATGTCAATAATTTTGTATTTTTCCTTAAAAATATTAAATTTTTAATTAAAAAATATATACATTTTTTTCTCTATAAAAAATATGTGATTATTATTACAGATATTCCTGCTGATTGACGAGATATCTGAGCATGTAATGTCGATATTTAAAGAAATATATTAAAATATAAAACATCAAAATATAAATTTTGAGATATAAAAGCATATTATTTTTTTATAACAATACACAAGTTAAGTAAAAAATATTACGATGTATTTGTGTATTACTGATAAGACGCGACAGTGCACATTGGAAAAGAAAAAAGTATTCTAAAAGTCACCGATACTTAATAGCCAATTTATAAGCAACGTCCTTGTTCCAGCGACATTTTGATGAATTCCCAAGTTTTAGCTTCGAACTCTTTCACAAAACAGTATCTCATTTAAAAAAATGAATTTTAATTATTTGCGACTCCGATATGTATCCATATTTCTAAATTCTTGCTGCAAAAACAAAATCTTAGTTTTTTACAGTATTTTTAAATCTATCCTAATATTTGCAACTCTTTTATAATATTATAAATATTAGTGATTAATATCTATAGTGATATATCTGTCTATAGTGATTAATATAATTATTAGTGAATATTTAAAAGGCATTTTCTATTTCTCTTTTTTTAAATTTATTAGTAATTATTCATAAATAATGAATTTATTTTTATTACTTATTGTTATAAATATTGTGATTATTTAGCTAATATCCTGAAATATGCATCAATATAAATCTTTGATTTTACTACATGGTGTAACATTATAAATTTGTATCAGTATAAAGTATTCCTAAACTACAAGAAGTCTTCCTCATTACAGATTCTATGACCACTTGGGAATCGGGGCTTCCTCAACGAAAATGTCAAGGCATCTGTTTCAGATTGGCCGACGATATAAAGCAGTGAAGCGTAAATCTAAAATATCTTTTTAGTATTAATTGTTATTTTTATATATTTTTTTATTTTAGTCTTTCTCTTTGAAACTACTAAGCTGTAGAACAAAATATCTTCTTAATATATGTAATATATTTATTTTTTTTACTTTCTCTCAAGAAGTACTCCACTTTTACTCTTATATGCAACACTTTATTATTATTTAATTTATTACGGATACAAGAGTAACACAAGATTCGGTCATTCAACATTAATCACGATGTCCTTTAATCGATGCTTTTTAATACGGGCTAATCACTTAACCGGATATATAAGGCTGCCTGATGTGTTAAAACACCATTAAGAGAGTACACAGCACCCAATCGTCGACAAGAAAAACACATCAGCGTGGCCAATCAAAATATTAATGCAGAAATCGGTCCGATCGCGATGCAATACCATCCATTAAGCCTTACGAATATTCGCCACTCGATCCTTTAAAAGCTTCCCACTCTTTTCTCAACGATAACGATGGAAGTTTGAAGATGAACGAGCGCAACATGAATCATATCTTGAACGATAAAGGATAAAGAAGAAAAACAAGAGAAAAAAAAAGAAAGAGAGGCTAACCGCCCAAAATCCACGAAACGTGGAACCCATGTAAATCATTTGCATAAATTATCATGATGATTTTTACGGGTTCGACTCTAGCCGAAAGTGAATGCTCATTGAAAGTATAGCGTCTTTCTTAGGGATACCAGATGAAGACAATGGACGGCGTGAATTTGTAAGTAACAACGCTACTACTACTAATACATGTGTACTTGCGGTTCTCTCTATTCAAAGATTTCGGAGAGCAACATCGAAAAGCAGATTAGCGAACGAGCGAGAAGTCAATTAAAAATATCTAGTTCTGTCAATGCCACCGGATTGCGACACACGGAGGAAGATCGTCTGGAGGGAGGAGAATCGCAGACTCCCAAGTATAAAAGGTCGAAATATCTCCGAGGAGATGCTCAATTCATCGACTTGACATCACACGGTTAACATGAAGCTCCTCCTGTTCACGTCCGTGGTAAGAAATCATTTTATTTCCGTCTCTCATGCGTCAACCCCGAAATTGCAATCGGGATTGTCAAGTTTCGCGCAAAGTGACTTTGCGGCCTCTCATTTTGTCTCCTTTTTGCAATTTCTGCAAAAATTAAATTAAACACAAGACGAAAAATTTATTTTCACAGTCTGCTCATATCTTAAAGCCTAGATTTATGGAATCATCAATATTGTTCGACTTGAACAAAATTCGGAAAAAGAATTTGAAGCGCTAAATTTTGCTACTTACATAATTAATAATTAAGTAAACTAATTGTGTAAATAAATTTATTAAATTGAAACTTCAACATAAAATAATTGCCTAATAATATTTAACACAGTATAACATTTAACAGAGAAATAGAATTTTTTTAAATTTCTTATATAAAATATAAATTTTTTTTTCTAACAAATATAGTTTTAAAATATAATAATCTGGTTAAAAAATCACTATATTATTGACACATTTTATTTTTTTGTTAAGAATTTATTAATTATGTATGTATGTGATGAATTTTGAAGTTTTTTATTGCAAAATATTAATTTTTAATATCACATTTGCATTTTGTAATCTTTTGCAAACAAAAAAAGAGTTTAAATGTGATTAGATAACATATGACAACTTGAATTCAGCAGATTCTCTTATTTAATTGTTCATTAAAATGCATAGGTCTCGATGTCGGTGTCGATTTCATAATATTTAAATTTATCTGCTGGGACCGGTTCAAAAGTTGCGTCAAATAATAAATACGGATTACACAGTTTAACATGTCCACATAAGAATAAATGAGATAAGAATAAACATACAATAAGTATAATGAAAAATTAAATAATATAATAAATATAGTATACTTAATGTAAATATCGCTAACTAATCTAATATTATATTTTTCTTTACAAAGAATAAAATAGATACATATCCGAACTATAAATACATAACATTCTAATTTACTAATACACTAAACTTTATATTTCTAGGTCTGCTTCGCGGCGGTCTTAGCAGCGCCGGCTGACAAGCAGAAGAGGGAGATTTTGCCGGGAGATCCACGGTACGGAACCGACTATCAGCACCATCATCACCACGAGCATGAGAACGACGTGCAGATCAGTAAAGCTGCTGGCGGTTATGTAGGTTCTTATGCGGTTCATGACGAAAATCAGTCGGGAGAAGCTCAGCCGCAACCCCATTCGGCCTATGGACCGCCTAACCACCAAGTCGGACAGCTCTTGGGCTCTGATTTTCTGACGAACAGTGACAGTGCCAAAGCTATCGCCCATGTGCCGGCCACTTCCTACGGAATCCCCGACACTCAGGTAATCAACAATTTTGCCAAGCAAGTTGAATTACTTTAAATGCAATTTTATTAGAAAGCGTAAAGTTTAGTTTCACAGAATATTGATTTTTTATTCAAACTTATAAATATTTTAGAATTGTCAAAATATCTATACAATTATTAAATTATTTATAATCTAAAAATATCAATTACTGTAGATTTAAAATGCAAATTTCATAATTTAGATTTATTTTTTTGTTACAGGTCATTAACAATAATTTCCTCGAAGGCGGCAAGTTAAACGCTGTTGTCAAGGTACATTAACCACATCGTCACTCCGCAATCGCGTAACTTTATTTTCTACTACTTTGCTAATTAATCAATAAAAGATTCTGCACTTTTCTCTTCCAATTAATATCTTTCAAGATGATCGATATGTCTGGACGGTCTGGACTTTGTTTGTTTGGCTTGTTCATTGCAATATATTACGATGTAGAAGATCAACTTTTTATTATTTAAGGATAATACTTTATCAAATATAATTATCCAAAATATACTATTTATTGCAAATAATTCTTTTTCCAACGAGATTAAAATTAAAATTTATTCTATTTTACTTTTACTCATTACACAGTAAACTTTTATAATTTAATTCAATTATAATCCAGCTCGATTTTCATTTTTAATTCAAACAAGTTTGTTTAATATCAGGACAATTTTCTATTCTACTTTTTGCAGTACATTAATATTACATACACTTTTCTTTATTAACAATCTTCTTCTTTCTTCTCACATGTTAAAGACTACGCATGATTTGAACACCAATTATCAGGTACCATCCATTGAAGCGCCCGTTTCTCCTTACTCCATTGCTGAGGTAGATTATTACTTCAATTATAGTGTCAATTCAAATAAATAGTATAAAATTAATTCATTAGAATAAACATCAGATAGAAAAGAATAAAATTCTATATGTAGTTATCTTTTATGATTCTATTCTTTTTATATACTCTGACTTTCCATATCTTTTCTTCTATCGTCTTCTATCTTTTCGATTCTTTGAAACATTGTAGTAATTAACATTGTGTAATATAAGTATTGGCGGAATATATATATATATATATTATTAATTTATTTATACATTTGTCATATACTTTTTTTAAACACATTTGCATATTAAATTTTTTAGACAGTTCACGAGCATCCAACATACGATGTGGTGCAAAAATCCGTAATCCCTGAGGTCCACCAGCCAGCGGTCGTGCATAAACATGTGGAAACCGTCTCGGTTCCGCAGGTGAAGGTGACCACGTCTCATCTACCTGTTCAAACTCAAGGTGAGTGTTGACCCATGAGGAATTTATATGACGACGAGCTCCGCCTAAATTTACGCCCAAAGACCTGTAAAAATGCGCATGAATATTGTTCAGACTGAGTTACGTAAGAACTCGGGAGTTCTCACAAACGCCACTTTTCTTTTCTCTTCAAGGTGTTTTGTAAAAGTCATGTCGAAATATTCTAATATTTGACCAACGCCTTAGAGTGGCACGTAAAAATACATTCGTCTTTTATTACGATCTGAATAATTTATTTATGTTCATATAGTCGAAGATAAGTGCGAAATATGCTCGTCATAAATGTTAATTATGTTATGCAATGGAGAAGTTTTTTTTAATTTTATATTAAGATTAGATATTTGGTTATTTTTACGGTTAAAGAAGATTATTCAATATCAATTTACATTCTTAAATTTTTTTATTAATAACAGTGAAAACATAAATCTTTTAAATGTTAAAAAATCAAAACTTGGTTAAAGGTTAAAATTATTGCAAAAGATATTCGAAATTGAATAAGTAAGTTATATTTAATCAATGATTTACTTGTTCAGTATTTATTGTTCAACAATTTATTGTTCAATTTATTGTTCTACAATTACTCTATTTATAATAAACGTGGTCTTAATGAATTAATCTGAAAATAATTTTTTATATTTCAGGAGTCGTCCAGCACAGCGTGCCGTCCGTCGCTTCTTCCATCAAAAACTTCCCCAGCTACAGCTATCCTTCGTACAGCAACATACCTCTGAAGACGATCGATCATCATGTTCACGTACAAGTACCACAACCGTACCCAGTGCCGGTAACCAAGCATGTCTCGTACCCCATTCCCGTGCCTCACCGCGTCGAAGTGCCCAAACCATACTACGTCCGTGTACCTCAGCCCGTTCAAGTCGCCGTGAATCGTCCGTACCCCGTAGAAGTACCACGCCCGGTGCCGTACGTCGTGCCGCATTACGTGCGAACCAGCGGTTATCCAGTTATCCAGCAGCACGGTGTTATCGTGGACGCAAACAGAGCATCAAGCAATCCGTTCCAGGGCTTCTTCGAAAACGCCCAGTTCCAGAACGTGCTGGCGAACTTCCCGAACTTCCAGAACCCTTTGGAAGGCTTCCAGAACTCCTTCGAGAACTTCGAGCTGCCGTCTTTCCCCAACCTGCCATCTTTCCCATCTCTGCCGTCGTTCTTCCCGTCCCAGCAGCCGTCTCAACCTGCTAACAATGCACCATCCAGCGCCGACACAGTTGCCGTCGACAATCTAGCGCTGAAGGTCGAGAAACCTAAAGTACTTAAACCGGCTACCACGTGTGCCGGATGCTCTGTTGGAGCCGTCAACGGTGGTTCTGCCAGCGCCAGTGCCGTCTCTTCCGTCTCTAGTGGTGCAGCTGTTGCCACCAAGCAGGATCAATTGCAGGAACACGTGCAGTCCACCGATGCCAACGGTGGTTACGTTTACTAGAATGTTTTACCTGAATGGACATTGAATAGGCTACTGGAATTTCTTAGTGGAAATGTTAAAAGATCATTTAACGCGATGACATATTTCTGGTATGTTGAATTGATCAAAAAGTTTGTTCATTTTTTGTTTCATTCCTTGTTTTAATTATTCTAAATCTTTCTAACTTTCGATAATATACAATTTTAATTTATCGATATCGTTTCTCCGCTATTTAAAGTTTTACAAGAAAACCATGCAACCCAAAATTCAATAGTTTACTTTGCTTGATGTAAAATTTTATTAATTTAAAAAATTTTTTTTTCTAAATAGTATTTTATATGAAAAATTTTTACATGCAAAAAACGAACAACTTTTTCATCAATGTAACATTTTTATCTTAAACGGAAACAATCATGAATAAACATCGCGACGTGAAAAAGATAGACCTAGATTACTTGATAACTTAAAATACTTGTAGCATATTATAATGTAATTTTAAATTTGATAGAATTTAAACGACCACAACAAGATTTATACGATTTCTTTTAGGCATTTGAAGGTCAGAAGCCTATTAAGCTTATCAGAAAAAAGAATTATTATAGAATTTAGATAATATTTTTTTTACTTAAATAAAATTCGTTTATTACAAACATTATTGGACCATTATTGAACTCTTTGATTCCCCAATGACAAGTGCTTTCAACGTATCAGTGCAAAAAAATTACACAGAAACGAGAATGATTGTTGCATCCGTATAACGATCAGATAACAATAATGAAGCGGCTGCGGCTCACATGCAAAAGCTATGATTATTCTTTTAAATTAACATATTATTATTTTATAAAATTGATTACAATAAATAATACCTAGATTTCCATCGTTTTGCATATGAGCTTTACAGCCTCTATATAATAGACTTTTAATCTCCAAATGATAAACATTTGATCAACAATATTAAATAGCGAAGCACCAAATTGTCTTTTGTTAATTAAAATTGCAGCTGCTACCACAGATGACACTTCTTTGCTGGATTCATGTTTGATCCTACGGGGCAATTCCACGTGGTACTAAATTCCTTAGAATTTTTTAATACTCCTTGAACCCGTACATGGTTAGGAGAATGAGAATCTTCCAGCATCCATTTCAGTGCTGTCGAAATATAAGACTCGCACCACAACTGAAAGCAACAAAAAGATCATCTACAATCTTAACAACTTAAAAAAAGTGGAAACATAATCTCATTTACACTGTTCCATGAAAAATAAGAAACACTTTTCAGACGCTTAAAATCGAACAATTTTTAAATCGCTATAACTCGGCAAAAAATCATTGTAGACATAAAATTAAAAAGTATTCTAAAGTTTTAAGTCTGTACTAAAGCACACTCATATGCTTTCAATTGTTTTTAAAAATGTATTTATTTATTTATTATTATTCAGTTCTGAGCTCAAAACGAGAATACATTGTTTTGTTCTCAAAAATTATCTTCAACACTCTGCAGTTCGATAAACAAATTTTTTTCGTAAAATTTATAACAAATGTCAAAAACTACAAGTTTATCTACAAAATGTGTTTTTCAAATTTTTGCAACAATTTTTCTTGACCGAGTTACACGACTTTGAAAGTAAATCTGACTGCCGATAGTAAATTATTTTTCGCATTTCAAAGTCATATAACTTGAACAAAAAAGTCGTAGCAAAATTAAAAAAAATAAATTTTAAATTTTGTATCCTAAAATATTGTAGTTTTTGACACATAAATTTTGCGAAACAAATTTTTTTATTGACAATAAAACAATGTATTTTTTTATCGAGCTTAGAAATATGAAGATAAAAAATATTTAGAAAACGGCCTAAAGCATGTGAAAGTACAAGTTTCAAGCTTTAAAATGCTTTTTTAATTTTTTGTCTATAATGATTTTTCACCGAGTTATAGCGATTTAAAAATTGTTAAATTTTAAGCGCTTGAACATCCGACGCAGCAGAGCAGCGTGGCCAAGAATAGCTGAGTGCGCGCCATTTATACGCACGGTGCCGTATTAATGGCACGCACTGTCAGTCGGCCGCACTGTTCTGCTGCGTCAAACGCTTAAAATTTAGTAATTTTCAAATCGCTATAACTCGGTGAAAAATCATCGTAGACAAAAAATTAAAAAAGCATTTTAAAGCTTGAAACTTGTACTTTCACATGCTTTAGACCGTTTTCTAAATATTTTTTATCTTTATATTTCTAAACTCGATAAAAGAATACATTGTTTTATTGTCAATAAAAAATTTTTTCTCGCAAAATTTATGACATGTGTCAAAAACTGTAATATTTTATTTACAAAACGTGTGGTTTAAAATTTTGCTACGATCTTTTTTATTCGAGTTATGTGACATTTAGGTAAAAATGTTAAATACCAAACGCAATATATTGCTATTAGTTTTATCTATATTTTATAGGTTGTGAGCATTTACTTTATCTTAATGATTGAAACAACATTTAAATGAGAACCATTTTTTCAGCGAAGGTCAACCACTAAAAAAGCTAATTTCCGTTTAATTGTATAGTCATAAATTAAAAAAAAAAAACAATTATGGGCTTATAAATTAGTAATTAATAAATTATTAAGGAGTTACGGTTTAAAAATATTCACAGATTCACGTAATTCAATCATTTAAACACGAGTCGGGTGATTTTTTAAATTATAGCTTAACATTTTACATAAATTGGAATTTCTACCGGATGTTTTTATTATTTTAGAAAAACAACAATTTTATTAATTTTTCGAATCTTTTTTTAGACCTTTGGTAATTCTAGAACATCTATGTTTTAGTAGAATGTCTAAAAGCAATGTTTTTAGTTTTCTAATTTCTTAATTTTTTTGTAATGCTAAATTTTATCACTCTGCATTCGAAAAGTCCACAAAACCGTGATAGTTTTGTGAACAATTTAAAGCAGCGTATTATAAGTTGCAGCTATTAACTCTGGATTGTTAACTTACGTGTGCATAGGAAAGAAAGAGTAACTGTTCATGCGTAAACTCCGTAAATCCTGGAAGTAGAAGCTCTTGACCATGCCGGGTCTTCCACCTCTCGTAAGCGACAAAGGCCTCACTAAGGCCTCCATTATCGGCGATGTTCTCATCTAAAGTTAGCTCGCCATCAATGTAGCCGTCAATCTGTCGATTATGCGAGATGTATTATTATCATATGATCGACATGTTTGAATCGTTTAACTTTTCAGAAACGGAATCGACCTTTGTGGAAAAGTTTATTCTTATAAAGAATTAGAATATATCGTAAAAATTTGTAGAAACTAAAATAAAATAAAATTAAAAATTTAATGTAATTTAATTTAAATTTAATTATAAGAAATATTGAATTATTCGAATTACATTAAATTAGATAGCATTTTTAATTTGATTAAAATATTTACCTCACTTTCGTAATAAGTACTGTAATGATTTATAAAGCATTTGGTTTTCTCTTTATACTCGGAGATGGTCTCATTGGTCCACCATTGTCGAAGATTTCCATCGCTATCATAGTGACGGCCGCTGTTATCAAATCCGTGTGTTAATTCATGTCCAATTACCGAGCCAATTGCGCCATAATTCAAAGCCCTGTAATTGAAATTATTCAAATAATTGCTTGTTTCTCTCATCTAGTGAATAACAGTCACAATCTATGCTTTTTAATTTTTCTATTATCTTTTATTTCTATTTCCTATTTTTCTTTTATTTCAAAAAGAAATAATCGTGAAATCATTATTTCTATTCTTACTCGAGACCCAAATCATAGAATGGGAATTTGAGAATTCCGACAGGTACAGCTGCGTGAAATTAATGAATTATAAATTTATTATAATATTGATAAAAACCTATATGATAGTCTTGTTGAAATTTTATTAGAATTTTAATTTTATATATTATTAAATTTTTTAATTAATTTTCTTTTCTTAAAAATTAAATTATTACGTACTTATTTGATTGGCATGAAAACTGTGGAAGGCGTTTACATCGGTAGGATGGCTTACCCATCTGATCCATGATAAAGTAAAGCGTGAAAAAAATTAATCTTGGCGTTAATTTTTGCTCATTACAATTTTTGAAAGTTTTACTTACTGAGACTTATTACTCAAATTATCGTCATGCAGACACGACCACGTAGTATTCAATACTACTCGAAGGATTTGCATCATATTGTCCAAGTATTTCGTTTCTGACAGATCTATCTAAACATTAACAAATCAATGTTACGCTATGTGAATGTACAAATATTGCAATTACTTCAGTTACTTCTAACAATTACAAAGTCGTAATTCTATTGCTCATACTATTGTAAACATTACTATTACAAAAAATTATTTTATAATTTTTATATTAATTTCTTACAACTTTTATGTTTTTATAATACTCGTCGAGCTTATTTTCATTGAAGAGCCATTCGGGAAATCCGATCTCGGAGCCCATCTTCTGGCTCTTTTGGAGCGTCGCCGTTTTCGTCGATTGATCCATCCAGTCCGTTTTCAAGACCAATGAGGCAAATGCCTCTTTTATGTCCTCCAACATCTCCATCACTTTATAAGCCTTATTATTATGAAATTTTTGATCAACGAACAGCCACGATACTGCCATCCCTGGATGCCGACAAAGAATATCGTTTATTGAAAGCATTTTTGCCATATTACGAAAATTTATCAAAAAATAATTTAAAATTTAAATAAGTAATAAGAGTTATTGTATCATTGTAGTTACCCATCATTTCATTAACGTCTGATGCGCATTCCAAAGATCTGGGTTCACGTATTTCCACCTGCAATATTTTATTGACATACACATTCCAAGTTTCCCTGAGTTTTTTGGAAGAAACAGGCACCACCATGTCCACGACAACCCACCAAATGTAACTTTCTGAATTAAAATTGTATATGTTAATCTGAGAAAAGTTTTTTACAAAATAATATTTTTGATAATAAATAATTAGCGAATAAGAAGCACATACCTAGATCTTCCTCCTCATAAGAAGAGAGTATCAGCGCCGCGTCTTTTAAGTAATCCAAATTACAGACAAGTATCTTGTCTTTGTTGTCAAGGTCTAACGTGACGAAATTCTCGAGAAGAGACTCGATAAAGGGCCGCCAAATCAGTTTAGGGGTGAGAGATGAATTAACATCTGTCACATATTCATCAGTCAATTTTTGCAGCTCGTCCACATACATGTAATTGTCATCACTCAAGTCTTCTTCGACAATGCTTTGATTTTGATCGGTACGAGCCATCTGCAGATATGATAAATTTTGTTAATAAAAAATTAATTTAGCATTAAATTAAATTGAAAATATTTACATAATAGAAGATACTGCTAATTTCGTATAGCGTCTCAATGCATTCTTTCAATTGTTTCTCGGATATGTTATATTCGTCCTCCGAAGTGCAAGCGTCAATAGTACCATTGCTAACGACATGCTTCACAACGTCTGTCATGTAAGTCAATTCGGCATCTTCGTGCTCATCCAACGTGTCTTCATCTGTGTCTTCTTCATCCAAATCTTCTTCCAGCTTTTGCAATCGCGATCTGATGGTTTGCATTCGCTTTTCTAAGTCTTTATTGCTATTTAATTAAAATATAAATTATATATTATATAAAGTAAAAAGAAATATTTTAGTTAAAACAGTTAAATAGCAATATAAAAGTAATGACTCAAAGTTGCAGAATAAAAAAATATGTGTGCGTACCTCAGAAAAGGACTAGAGTGAATTGGAACATCAAAAACAATCATATATCTGCTGTTGTTTCTTGGATCCTGCATGATGTCCGTACCGAAAAAAATATCGCGACCTATATTTCTCTTTACGTTGGCAATTTGTTCGATGTAATTAGTCGTCTTATTAGTAAGAGCCGCTGGTATCATGGGTAAATTTAATGATTCCAATAAATCAAACAGTGGGAACAAACCGAGTTCATCCATTGCATCTGAAATTTATATTCTTATAAAAAAATTCAAAAATATCAACAAATAATTAATAAATTTTCCGTAAAACATATTTCGTAAAAATACACGTACACACCATGTAATTAAAAAATTAAACCATTTTAAGATTGTACGTAATTTCTCAATCCTTTTTCTTTTCATTGATTCATTACGGTATAATGTAATATTTCTTCGGCTATAGCTCTGATTGACATTTCATCTAATTAGATAAAAACGGCAACGTACGCACGTCCATGCAGCTGGTGAATAGCGTCTTGGCCTGCATCACCGACCGGGGTACTTCACTAGCGGATATATTAACTTTCAACAGATCCCTGATCTCCCTAATAATGTGAGTGTACAGCTCGTTGAACCAGTTATTCGTCAGCTTGCTATCCGGAATAGGATGTTCCTGCGACCATCTGCCACATGTATATCTGAAGAAAATTCGCACTAATGAAACAAATTTTACATTTACATATTTTATAAAAATAAAAATTAATGATAAATATACGTTCTTTGTGATCAAAAGCATATCTATCTATACTCTTATTCTCTATTTAATTATATTTTTATACTAATATATTTATAGGAGAGAAAATCAATAAAGAAAAAGATTATATATAAAAAAAGTAAACAAAATAAAATTCTTGTAAATTGCAATAATATTTTTTGTCAAATATTTCTATTTAAAAATATATATATATATATTTTTTTTTTTACTTTTATAGCAAGCAAGTGAAAGTAAAACGCGCGAGTGCGATATTTGCGCAATGCAAAAGTGATATGTTTATAGCGTGAGCAGAATTTTGCATATAGATGCGTCACACACATCCAATACATATCACGATGATAATCTACTCACTGATAAAAATCGTCGCAAGGATCTACAGAGGTATCCATAGATTCCTTCAAACTAGCCGCTAGGTAAACAGCGAAAGAAAATAATTGCTTCCGAGACGATAAATGCCATACATTTCTTTTTTAATTTTTTAGCGCATATAAGTAATAGCTTTCGCTGATAATAATAGTTGCATACTACTCACCTACTCGAACGCAATCCTCACTGTCGCATATCTTCATCATTCCACTGCGCGCATCTGCAACAATAATATATTAAAAGCAATGTACAGTATATTAAAAAATATTGGATGTTTTTTTAATATAGTTTTTCTATTCAGTTTTGACACAATCATGTAGATTAAAACTTCATTACTATGGGACTTATCATATGGTAATGATAAGCGCGGCAGGAAGTTGTTTTATAAAACAACACACGTGACACGCACTGCTGCGCGATCCATAGCCATGCATTGAAATATTTACACAATGTCAATGGCGATCGAAGATGCTAAATGGTTTCCCAACGATTCGTCAAGGATGTCTAATGTAATTTTTAAGCGAATAAAGGGGATATATCAAAGCACAAGAGTTAAGTCATTTCTTTTCATATGAAAAGCATTTCCGGTTGTAGCAGTTGTCATCGTGATGCCTACTAAAAGTTTAACGCAGTTGAATCATAGTTAAAGAACTTATGTACACGTAAAATTACAAAGACCAATTTAATTTCAAATTAAAAAATCTTAAAATATTGTAAAGAAGTACAATTATATTTCTTAAATAATTTACTCTTTTATTATAATCCCTAACTGACAGTAATAAATAATTTAATAAAAAGAATTTATGTATATGTAATGTTTGTTAACTTTATTTTAATTTATACATTGTACTTTTTTTCAAATTAAATATCAATTTACAATTATAATTTGTTAAAACGTATTATTATTTTTACATATAAATAAAACATAAAAAGAAAAGAAACTTACAAAGTACTGCGAGTACCACAACTGTTACGAATAAGGAAGCCACCAGAAGAAACAAGATTATCAGCAACAGATTGGACAGCTGAGTCCGCCTCTTGAAACTACAAAACAGGATGAGTTTAACTCGACGAGGACTCGAATGGTCTATTTGCGGAGAGCAAATGCACATTCTCGAGTTAATGAAACAATTTAATGAACTTAGTGCGCGTCAGCTGTTTTAAAAACCGTCAATCTCTTCTTACTTACCAAGCTTTCCTGGATCTTATCGGCACCAGGTGGTTCTGGCTTCCGACCGAGTAAACGGATCCGTTATCCTCTAGGGAAAGAGAAAATACGCAATGCGTAATAATGGCTACTTAACGCGGCAAATTATGAGATTTGTTTAAAAAAAATAGCACTTGTTAAGTAAATTTGCATATAAAATTAATTTTTATTATGTAAACATTATATTTTTAATAATACTAAATTTTTATAATTAATGTTTTTTAATATATAATAAAAAAATAAAAATCTAAGCAAAATACACATCAAAAGTTGACTATCAAGTTGATCTACCTACATATATTAATGTAGACTTTTATTTCTCATCTAGCCTAGTTTTATTATCGCGCTATCAAAATAGGGTCATTTATACGTTCAATAAGCTTTCGAAAGACGTCAGAATACAAAATTTTATAGTAAAGTTCCAGTTTTTTTTTAAATAAAAATAAAAAAATATTTTCTTTATTTCTCCTACTATTAATTTAAAATTGTAATCAATCTTTTTCTATAATCATTAATAATGTGATATATAATAAACCTCTTGATATAATTTGAACTTAGATAAAAATTTTATTTACATTAAAATAACAATCTTCAATTCTGTTTTGTCATTTTAATTACTTTTCTTTGCATTTTGTTTCTCTCTTTCGATCTTCTTCTTCTCAAAGCCGCAGGATACCTATATTTAATCTATTTTTCTTAATCAGTAGAAGTAAAAAAAATACTACCAAAAAGAACGAACATTGTTATTATTAATAATTAAGAAACTATCGGTAATCATATGATTCAATTATTGTCAGTTTTAGCATTGCTTTAATTATCAATTAAAAATTCGTTATTATTGTTTCTACAAATTATAGTTAATAATAAAAATAGAAATAATGGACGCAACGTAAAAATTGTAGAAACCATTCTCAATTTTAACTTTGATAAAATATTACGCGGCAAAGTATTGCGCGAGAAAGTTAGCGGGTTATATATATACGGTGCACCGGAAAAGAAAAGACAAGCTAGTGTAAAAATACCACTCACTGCGCTCGTTGTTCATGCTGAATGGCCCACTGACCGGATCGAACTGACGACACTGAACACCAAGTCGAGTCGGACAGACAACGTCGGGTGTCCATACGTTCACATTTTCCCAGTGGTTCTCGTGTCTCGTCATCGAACCGACGCACAACAACGGTGAACAAATATTAATTTTCCCATCCATCCATCCACGATAATATTCACGCGTAATGCGCCTGCAAAGAACGAAAGACACCCGGTATCTTTCGACTATCGGCGATGGATCTTTAATCCTTTTGATATCATCGAAACACTTTAAATAATAAAAAAATTTACTAGAAGTAAAAACAAAGTTAAACAAAAATGTATGAATTACTTTGCAATATTTTTTTTATACAATTAATAATTACGTAATAAGATTATTATTTTTACTTTTTAATTTTTATAATTTTTATGGCTTAATAAAAAAATAGAAACGCGTTTGTTATCAATGCTTATGCATTTAATGCTTATGCATCCTGTACATCAGCATAAAATACTAATGTTATTGCTACAATTTGTAAAGATAATGTTTGTTATCACTAAAACGTAGGCGTATACCTTGAATACCTTGAAACGTGCAATCGATTGATTGTGCGATGCCATTTTTTTTCTTTTGAAAACTGATTCATTTGAAGTTTAGCTATAAATAAAGAGTTTACTCTCTCATTTACGTTTCGTGAGCACATAAATCAGATTAGAAATCGTGTTCGACTTTTTCCATGCATGATATTTGTCTACTACACTTTGAAGTGATATAAATAAAAACGGAATAAATGAGAAAAAAGCTAATCAAACAATTTTTTGTATTATATTAAATAATATGTTGCATTATAGTAATTAAAGTGATTAAATATTTCTATATAATTTTATAAATAATAAATAGCTAGACATTCTGTATTTTTTACATAATTCTGTATTGTATCATTTAACAAAACAGATCATATTTATAACAATACTGAATTTCCATAGGCAAAAATAAATTTATAATGATTTCGTAACGCCTTCTATTACTTCCACCTTGCGCAAAGTGAAATCCACCTTTCGCACACAATCGATAGTATCGTAACGATCAAATTAAAACGAATAAAACGATTAATACAATTATTATTAAGATATAGAACACGAGTGGAGCTAGACATCAGAAAGTATGTACAAGTCTTACTTGCGAGCTATAGCTCTACTATTAGGAAGCTTTACTCGCGTAGAAACATTTCCTTGAGGTAGTTACAAAGTACATACTAGTAAAGTAATTTTATGTAATGCTACTTCCGTTGCGAACTTCTACTCAGCAAACACGGTACACATATTTCTTTTAAATCTCGTATTTTTTATTCTTGTTTTATGAAACAGAATAAACCCGAAGTAATCAAGTTAAAAGAAATATAAAAAAATGATTGCTTTATTTGTTCCACAAGTCTGATATTACTATTAACATAAAAATAATATAGTTATAAATAACATTATAATTATATTACAAAATTATTTTAAATTATATATAATTAAATATACTTTTTTGTTAATAACAATAATGCATAAAACATAAATTCAATCATATACTTCCCATTAAGAAAATAAATAACACCAACAATGATTTTTAAAAGAAATATTAATGCATAATTTAATTAATTTATATTAATTAAAAAGTTACAAGTTTTATTAGAACGATAAAAAAAAGATGTAATAATTGGTTATCAGAGTCATAACCTGATATGGTGATAAAGATATATTGATTATTAAGTTGACAGGATATGTCAAAATTTCTTAGCAACGCATGTGTAATGTGTAATGGGTATCGTTTGAGGAAACTGTCTGTCGCGGAAAAACACTTATTACAAGGAGAAAGTATGCAACAACGAGAGCTACGTAATGCATACCGCAAGCCGTATTCATTATTCATGCAACCGCTCTATCGGACAGATAGCGTGCAACCGTGTATTTGCGAACATACTCGTGTTATTGGGGAAATTGCTCCGATTCCTGGGCAATCGATAAAAGGGAAATTTATTTCGAATAGTCCTATTGCTCGTCGAAATCTTCATGATTTCGAGACAACGAAACATGGCTATAGCATCGTAATCAATAATCATCTAACAATTGAAAACAAATCGATTGGGAAAACAATCTCTACAGTATTACGATTATCGCAAATATTTTTATCCCTTTAAAAAAACATATCAAGATAATAAATACGAGACAAAAAAATATAAAAACTAAAAAAGTTTTTAACTAAAATTATACTTTATCACGCATAGAAATATTTTTACTTAATGCCGTGCTGGATTGCGACGTAATCAGGAAAAGTTCTATTGAAAATAGAAGAATATGCGCAAAATATGCCAGATTTATTTCAAGATTGCATTATGACATAAATTCTTAATATATCTATTTACATAGCCTCTATTATAGCCAAATCCATCGAGATAAAATATTAGCTAAATGCATCTCCGATTGCCATAAAATCGAATAGATCACGATCTAACCATGAGCATTAATAGACTTTTCGATTGATCGAAGGATATTTATCTGGATTGTAATCAAGATTTATCATCACGATACGTATGCTACTAACAATCTGGGTGACTGGAAACCTAATTAAATGCCGGTGTGCATATAAATTATTACGGTATTAGTGCGCCACGTTCTTGCTTACGAGCAAACTTTACGTACGCTTGAGTGATCATTACCCAACTCTGTATATGATCATTTAACAACAAGTAGATTGAAAAATCGACGATATACTGCGTTATCCGTTAATCAATTTAAATACAAAATGTTTCGATAATTATCAATTGAAGAAATCAAGATATAATATATAGGTTGTCTAATGTGCTAATGTAGATATACCGTGTTCAAGAGTGTATCTTGATTCATCAATCTCTCTTTCCATCAATTATAAAAAAAATTTGCAGCACACAAAAGAGGCAATTGAATTAAAATAGGTGTAATGAAAAACTTTTTTAAATATATATTTATAATAATATAAATAAATTTAATATTAAGAATGACATCGATAGCGGAATATGAAATGAAATACATACTGTTTATTCCATTTTATATGAAACAGTACGGTATGTGGCCTTAGCTACCGGTCTAATCATACAAAAACATAAAATAGATTAGACAAAGTAATGGAGAATTGATAAAAAATGTATCACTCAAGCAGGCAACTTCGATCGCAACAAATGATAGACTTGGCGTCATCGCAATTTGGAAGCTGTAACGACCTTTTTTTTGCGCTGTCGTTATAATGTTGGAAAAATGGTTGATTATTCATACACAGAAAAAGCTCGTTGTTCGACAGTAATATGCGTAACGCACCTGACTATAGCAGCAGTCATAATTGCATATGCGCTGGTCGGCTGCGAACTGTTTGAGCTCACGGCGATGTTTTATACGGAAAATGCCTCTTTTCATACCACTGTTCCAAGATTGCCTGGCACTCAGCATTCCCGGGTCCCAACGGAAAAATTGAAAATCTGTGAGCGACGTGCCGCATAATTATGTGGGTGAATAACGCCGACTCTCCGACACGCTGCGGTAAAACGTTCACTTTGATGCAAATAACTCGCCGCGAACCCTCGTGCTATTTCAGTAAATTAAATGGAAAAATGCATGAATTTTCGATGAAATATTGTCATGTCTATGTTAATTTTCGCATCGATAAATTGGAGCATATTGACAAAGAACGGAAGAATAAAATTCTAATTTATATTCCAATTACTATATTTAATAATGAAAAAGAAAAATAGAAAAAAAATTTTTTAATGTGTTCAACTTTCTTTAGAATTGAAAGTCTGAGCTTGATAAATGCGTGCGCGGAAGCGTAGCTGCATTTTGCAAGCGCTTTCCCTTGCGAGCGCGTGAGAATCCTCGCAAGAATTCGTAAGAACGTAACGCATTACACGCGCTAGCATGATTGCGCAATATTCGCGAACAGCTAGAACCAAAGCAAAACGCTCGTAATCATCGTGCAATCGAGGACATACACTCGGCAAAACAATCGCGCGATCAAATATCATTTTCCTCTTTTTTTGGTGGAACAATTTCGTTGAGGCATGTATAATTCTCCTCCTTTCCCAAGCGATCGTTGCTCAGAGCAAGCGGCGCCCGTACAGTTTCCCGAAAGAACGAACGGACCGTAAAGACTCTCATTAAACTAGCGCAGAAAAGCGCCGACGTGATGCTGAAATCGTGCAACCGCAAGCTATTCTAAGAACCTAATGAGATTAATAAATTGGCTGAAAAAATTCACCGATAAGTTTCGCCGGTAATTACGTTTTTTAGCTCAAAGAGCCATTCATCGCGAACATATTTAAAAAAATAAGAATAATATTAATAATTGAAGAAAAATTATTAGTATTTACACAGAAAATAAATGATGAAAATTTTAAAATTACAAGAAGAAGAAAAATATGCTGTATTATAATCAGAATATTAATTACCAAAAGAGATATTAATATACAACAATTATAAGCATTGTCGATGACTGCAACACAAAGATATATTAAGCCATTACCATTGATAAGTGCGTCATAAAATAAATAGCTTTGCAGTAAAACTGACGATTACACCTAAAAAAATTTTAAGATAACTAAAAAAGATTGCTTAAATTTTAATACATAGGCATGTCGAGGGTGCAAGTTCGAGTAGATTCCGACGTTTTGATTAGCAGCCACACAATCGAGAAACCACACGCGGAGACATTGTTGAGCTATCTCGATGAAATCAGCGGTCTCGATGACCAGTTGTCATCCGGGCTGTAAATGCGTTTCTACAATTCCCGTGAGCAAGCATTCCCCCTTATCAGTTGATATGGGAGAACGACGAGGTGTGATTGCAACGATTCTAATTACGAGTTGTAAGAGCGTGATAAAAACAAGCGGACGACACCGTCGCGAAGTGGAACGGATGGCAACCGGCTTTATGGTCGATCTGTTTGGACTATCTGTTGCTTGGCGACGTTGTGGATTGATTCACATGCGTCAAGGGTCTTCGGCGTCAAGGGTGAAAAAATTTTTGTTGTCAAAAAGACTTAACACAGGATTTCTTATCGTTAGATCTAAAAATAGTTATACTCCTAAGCAACTGAATTATAATAAGTTGTTTGCGCTTATTAAATAAATTATACGCACTACGCACTATGCTTGTTTAATTTATTGAAGTGAACAAATATACCACATTGTGCTAATATCAATTTATGTAATCGAATTGTGCGGTACGAACCATTAATTACAGCCGAGTAGCAGTATTAATGAAGTTAACTGTGCAAAATTGACATATTGTTTGATCGGTCATTATTGAGACCTCATTTAGCTGGCTTCAACGAGCCGGATACTTGCCATTAAGCTGTTTTGCATAACTGATTGAATATGCATTGCGCCATTTGCGGTTTACAATAAATTTTGCACATTTCCGACGAATTGATCATTTATTTCTGTTTTACTTAATGTTACTTTATTTTTCTAATTATTCTCTGTTATTTTGTTTAATTACCTGTTCTTTAATTCAATTTAATTTTATCTGATTTAGTGAAGTAACTTTTGTGATACATTACGATATTCGGCAATTAGGGAGAGATGGAAGGAGAACGAATGAATGCCTTATTTTATTACAATACGTAAAAATCAACTTTTATTGTAAAATAAATAAAAGTGTTGCTGCCGGAAGACAAATGATAGGGACAGGAAGAGATAGCCGCTCTTTGATGTCGTGGTCTCTTCTTCAATGTGCCGCACAAAATTTCGATGTTGACAGAATGAGAAATGAGAACGCAGAAGGGCCTGATTATTGTGTGATTCGTGTCATATGTAGCGTCAAGGTAAAACGAAAAGAATGAGGGTGGACGGAGGGCTTTTTTCAAGTGGCTGCCTGGTCTTTCCACGAGCGGTCCTCGAGTGGCCCAAGACGGCTATCCTGAGGCAGTCGAAATCCACTTCAATCTGCCGATCAACTGCGATTCGCAACAATGCTGCTCGACTCTCAGGCCGGAAATCTTCGATCCTCGGCGAAAGAAATTTCGCGTATGGATTCGATACCTCGCCAAAAAAAAAAAGAGAGAAATCTTTCGGCGAGGTCACTTCTTATGTCGTTCACCAGTCAATGGTGGTCGCTGATTCGTTGCCTCATATCAGCCTCAGGATGACGCGTTCGGCATGGACCACTCCGGACCAGCGAGTCCGCTGGCTCAAGTCTGCTCGGGATTTAGTGGTGCCCGTGGACGGCCACGTTGGTGACGCTGGGCTCGTAATGCGGAGCCGGGTTGTAATGCTCGATGCCGACCAAGTGTGGATGCCCTACATGCGGGCCAGAGTAGTGGATGCGGGTGACGTGATCGTTACCATGAAGGGCGAGCGGAGCGGCGTGCAGATTCGGGATAGAGGGCTGTTCGCTCACGTGAATGTACTTCGGTATATGATGCAGCTAATCGGAGAAATGGGGTGTTTTATTAATTAAGCGCAATAATTAAATTTCATTAATCACATTAATTTGACCATCAAATAATATAATAGAAAGGCATTGAGAGCCGTCGCGGGATGTAAGCGCAAAATTTTTTAATTTTTCTTAAAGAAATTAATTTATTAGTCTACATGAGACAGTTAAGTTGTACACGTTAATTTGTCCAACATTTGTTATCGAATCATAAAACTTAAAATGATTGCAGAAAGATGATCAGACAATTTGATAGTCTTAAAAAATTGTAATTTTCTCAAGATATAATCGGCTACCATTGCAAAATTGCAAGTGAACGCAAGGCAGTTTAGAACGTTTGAGCAACTACAATAGAAACCTCTGGGATAGAATATTGCGGAAGCATTGCACAAAGAAGCGTGACCGATTTAGTGCAATTGTGACGAAGTTTCGATATTACGTTAGAGTTGATAGAATTAAGTAAAAAATCTAATAATTTCAATTTTAATTATTTTAAAATTATTTTGTTGTAATAATTGTATGTATTTATTGTATAAAATTATAATACGCTCAAGAACTTTGCGACACGCGAGGTTTGCGTGAAACATATAGAATTTCCTTAACAACTCAGATAGAAAAGATAAATTATAAAAATTACAGATATGGCAGAAAAATTACAAAATAGTTATTATATTTGAACTTTCTAAAATTATGGTATACTTACTCCAGCGCTAGCAACCGCCACAACGGCAAAAA